GAACTGCCAAGATTCGAAACTGTAAGATTTGGTAGGAATTCTATTAAATATATGGGACCTCTCATCTGGTCGAAGTTACCAAGACACCTAAGAACGATAGAAACTCTAAATTCGTTCAAGAAGAACATAAGAAAAGTCGACCTTTCAACTCTCGTTGAAATTTAAAACTTAACTAAATAACTTTATAATCTTTTTAATTATCTACTGTAAATAACTATCATCTACATATGTAAATGTATTTGACTTTTAAATTCTTTTTAGTGTCCCCCATTAGCTTATAGCTAAAAACATAGACACTTAAATAAAGTTTTTCATTCATTCATTCATTCATCGACCTTGTAGCGCCGCGAGATATTCTGTAGAAACTAGAAGAACTCCTAGCGTAGCTGAAACTCCATTGACAGCTCCTGAGAGTAGTTGTTATAACGTAATTATTATTAAAAGGAAACGACCGGCTGCTTTCTACAAGAATAGCAAAGAATCTGCTGCATACCGACAGACCTTTGAATTTCTTTACTTTGTGCAGTGCAATAGCATTTCAGGGAATCCTAACATAGCCGTGAGTTATACAACATGAGAGTTATCAATTCGCCAAAATTTGCATGTGAGTTTCATCTGGGGTGGTAGCCACAAGTACTAGGGAATTTGCCTTGCGCTGGCTACTCTTGTTTCTTACCGCTACACTGTATGGAGTAGACCCGACATGGTTGCAAGAGCTGTCCACATTTGATTTCCTTCTTGTTTCCATTATTCCATTCCTTCCCTCTGTTAAGCTGTCGCGTTATGCTTTATTCGTAGTGTCATGCAGCCGTTGCTTAAAGCGTTTGAACTCGAAGTTCAAAAATGCCTCTTTAATCAGATGTCGGACTCTTAAAAACGTAGACTCTACAAGTGCTGAAGCTTAAAAGTGGACCAAAACCTTGAAAATATCTAATTTCGATCATAATTTCTATAAATTAATCATGTATTAATTTGTGTACCAAAGGGTGGAAGGAGCAGCTAATTACAGTGTAGGGACTAGGCCTTTATACTGATTATGTTAGCATAATTTTTGGAATAATTTGAGCAAACTTGCATAATTTCTGCCAAGTAGCAATGCTAGTATAATTCACATATTTTGATAATTATCGGATCATTTTTGATACTACAATTTGATCATTGTTCATCTCTATTCCCAAGCACTTGGTGACGTTATTCGATGTTTTAAGTTTTAGTTCAAGTAGCTAATATAGTAGCATTTGTAGTTCACTATGAATCACTGAGCGGCGTCTGAAAAGGTCTGAGCCCCGGTTAACATGAACCACATGTTTATTTGAATTTCATTGTGGATTTGTTGCGTTTCTTGCTATTGTAGACCAACGGCTTCTAATTAAAAAATGTATTTTTTGGACTTTTTTGCAATTTTTTAAAAGAGCATGATTTTAAAAAAGGGGCATAATTTGGAAAAAAGAGCATAATTTCCCCAAAAAAGCAATGCTACTGGCATAATATGCTACTTTAACCAGCATAATCTATAAAGGCCTTAGTAGGGACTGGAGAAATTGGTTCGTTATAGCGAGGTTCGCGTTCTGTGGCATACAAACATAACCGGGCTGAAACTTAAGAATTGTTCGTTATACCGACAGAGTTAGTTAGAGTTAGTAGAGTCCCCTCTACTAACTCTAATACCGACGACTTCGTTACATAGGGGTTCGTTACAGTTAAATCGAGGTTCCATTGTACTCTGCTATTTCCAAGATTTCGTTTAATTTTTTAATTTTTTGTGAACAATAACAGTGAAGACCGAGGGGTCCTCGGTTCGAGTGTGCTTAGGGCTTCCGGTTTTCCGAGAATAGTGGTCATGCTCAGTCATGCAGAATTAGTTGAAAGCTATGGCGCAAGGAAAGAGCGTGTTAGACGATATCAAAAAGGAGCTAGAATGTCCTGTGTGCCAGGAACAATTCAGTGAGAAGAATGAGCCAAAAATTCTACAATGTCAACACACGTTTTGTAAATCCTGTCTCAATGGCTGGCTACAACAGCATGGCGGAGGAAGGTTGAGCTGCCCAAACTGTCGAGTGATTACCGAATGTGCTAACAACAACGTTGACTGCTTACCAACCAACCTAGGATTTAAGAACTTGGGAGACATCCTAAAAGCTCACGGTGCCTCAAACAACGATGATCATCGAGATATCAGATCACAAGAACAGAACATATGTAAGCGCCATAGAAAAAATCTTGAACATTACTGTGAACAGTGCCGGATTTGCATATGCTCTGACTGCGTCATTGTCGAACATCGGGATCCGAACAATCACAAAATCGTGTCTGTAGAAGACGGAGCGAAGAAACTGGCAGAAATTATCACTGAAAAACTGAGATCTGTTGAAGTGAACACTTCTCGTTTGAGGAGCGATATTGCTACTTTGGAGGAAAGGAGAGAGATATTCAAGACGAACATAGTACAAGCGGCGAAAGTGGTCCGTAATATGACTGAAAGCTATATAAATTTGATTCGCCAACATGAAGCAAGCGTGACGGTTCAGCTGGCGAGAGAAAGATCTCTTAACGATAATGCTATTTCCCAGGAGTTGTCAAAGCTCACCGACAAACTGGAGAGAATGGCTAACGCTGCGATCCGTGGTAGAGCGATTCTTGAAAATCATAATCATAACATAGACGAAATGACAAGTATAAAACAAGTTCTCGATGACTTGATTTCAGAGAAAGTCACACCACTGCTCAGATATCCAGATTTAGAATACATCCCAAATGAACCCCCTCGAAATTTAACGACAGGAAAGCTGTGTATAACTCATACAGAACCTTCTTTGAGTGTGGTTACCGGTGAAGGCCTGACAAGGGGTATTCGATCGCAGGAAGCTAATTTCACGGTGACAACAAAGGATTCAACGGGCCAGACAACTTACTGTGAAATTGATAAGGTCACTGTTGAGGTAACATCTGAACGGAGGGGAATAAAAAACATTCCAGTTATTATAAAGGACTTGAAAGACGGTCGGTATTCTGTGTTCTACACACCAAATGCTGTTGGCGACTTCAGGGTTTCAATCAAAGCACGAGACGAACCAATCCGAGGAAGTCCCTTCAAACTGCGAATTAAAAATATTCCAAAGCCTGTTGTCTTGGGAGGGACTTCTAAATTTCAAGGTGAGTCTGAGAAATAATATAATACTGCGCAAATTTTTTTCTGTAATCTGGACTTCAGCAGTGACTCATCGCCTGTTTCGGGCCATATCAATGACGTCGATGTTCTTCCCTTCGCTATTAGAATTCCGTTCGATCATTTTGAATAAGAGTGGCAAGTTAGGTGTCGGTGTCATACCCTTTACTCCTCTCTGGCTGAGAATCTCTCTAAACTACGAGAAGATTCTAAGTAGCATTTTTTGCTGTTTGTTTGGACTAAAGTCGGAAAAGTATGACTATACATAAATCCATATTGTATAATGAATTGTGTTACCTTTAGGCGTAGAGCTCCCTAGTAATTGGATTCCTCAACCAAGAGATCAACAAGGTATTGAACAGGCAGTACATCTTGTTCGGTTGGACCCTCATCTACATATACAGGAGTACCAAGATGTCCAAGCGAGATTCCAGCAAACCTGTGGAAACCAAGTTGTGAAGATAGAGCGGGTACAAAATCCAACCCTCTACGGAACGTACATGATCCGTAAGCGGAAAATGGACCTGGGAAAAGGTAGCAACGAACAGCGACTCTTTTATGGAACTCCAGGCCAAAATTGCCAACTAATTAATACAACGAGTTTCATCTTACCTAGCAGACCTGGTACGGTAACTTCCTTTTCGTTTCGTATTTCTCCTGAACTGAATTCCCAGAAAAAAAAAGAGAGGAAAAGGAAAAGGAAGAGAGAGTCCCTTTTGATTTTAAAAAACATCTCTACCCTATAAAACCAGAACTAATTGTGTGAATCGCTTAAAGGCACCCACATATGTCATCGAAGTACTCCTTCACATCTTGTAGTGTATGCTTTTACAAAGCATTTAGGATTACGCTTCTCGCCTAACCTATAAGGGTGCTAAAATTTATACACGTTCAATACTACCCAAAATAACCGATATTCCTAATCAGTTACCTTACAGAACATTTCTAGACTAGCAGGCGCCTTATTTCCCTTGAAAAGAAAAAAAAGAAAAGAGAGAGAGAGAGATAGAAAGAGGGGGGGGGGGGAAGGGAGTAAAGCTCTCCCGGTACATGCCAGCGGAGGGAAAGGAACTCTCCATCACACGAAACAGCTATTCATGCACCCCTCGCGTCTTTCAGCACATACACCATTATTTAAAAATTAGGACTATTTTACCGGAGCTGACAGATATTCGAAGACTATTAAATATTGCTCTTGACAGGCCATCAAAGGCTAAGGCCTCAATGGCAAGCAAATATCTGTTTTGTCAACGTCTTCCCCAAAGCTTCTCAAAAGCTTCGTTTATGTTTTATCAATAAGGAAATACACATTAGCGTATATTGGCCACCGGTTGTTTCCGGGTTGAAGACCTGAAAGCCTTAGATTCTGTAGTTGTGATAATAACTAATATGTCTAACGCCTTTTTGACACTGTCACATGATCAATGTCTTCCAGTAACTGGCTTTGGAAATGGTGTGTACTTTTCTAAACATGCCTCATACTCAGCCCGGTCAAACTATTCGCCGCGAGATGGGAGTGGATACCGCTTCATGTACCTCGCTAGAGTCTTGGTGGGTGAATACACAGTGGGAAGGCATGGTCTTCTCACTCCTCCTCCAAAGGACCCTAATTATCCAACGGTACTTTACGATAGCGTCGTAGATCAGATCCCCAACCCATCAATCTTTGTGGTCTTCTTCGACTGGCAATCCTATCCAGAGTACCTGATCACCTTCGTTTGACTCATTACTTTTTGCAGGTAGTTTCAAGTGCGATAAACGAGTCATAAAAAAGTTTTATTTTATTCAGGGAACGTAGAAAGTGTAGAGCAGGGGAACTTTAATCAAACAGTTTTTTTTTTCTATTTTAACATGAACACAACGAGGGAAGCATAGCCTATTCTCTCAATGCAAGGGGTGGCAAAGATTTGTAATTCTTTGGAGATCGTAACGCAATTATAACCCTAGAATAATCCATATTTCAAGACCTGTGCTATGACCAACCTGAGTCTAATGTACTCAATGAATCGATAGCAATTTTCTACACAACCCACCGTTTTGTACAAATTCATGGTGATTTTTTTGATGCCTAAAGAGCCTTCTGAATATTTTTAGGTGATCACGTAGCGGACGTCGACAGGATGTGAAATGAACTCCTAATCATCTAAGCCAAATGAAGAGGTTTTTTTTCCAAGTGTTATTTTTGACAAAAAAGTAATTGTTTAAATCGATCGGTCGACGCCGATTACAATTTCCGCTTAGTGTGTTGTTAGGTTAGGAACCTTTACCAAGGCCTCCTCCGCCAGCCACTAGAGTGGCTGATACGGGGAGCATCGGCAAATTGGATTATCTCATCCCCTAACATTAGGATTTAACATGCTTATGTAATATCTAGACTTAGAGAGGTTTGTGATCGACGTTTTCCTTTTGGGGGCCATTGAATTTAAAACGGCGGTCAAGATTAAACATTTATTCAGAAAGCTAATGCCTTTATGACATAGCAGTTAATCTATAAAAAGACAATATGTAGCAATCGTTGGCCTTTGATGATGCAATGCCATAACCATTTTTGACTCCCTCTTTCCAATGTTGGTTTAACTATTCCATTCTTTTCGCTGACAAGCACGAAGAAATAGGTTTGCTTGAAGAGATAGTGAACAAAATAAATTTGCAGTTCGTCAAGATTTTTATATGAGCTCTGCCTGGGGATTGATAAAGGGTGAACGCTTAATCGGGTGGGGTGGCGCTAGTCAAGAGTTAGCGATAATTGGATGGGAGCGCTAATCAAGGGTGAGCGCTCAATCGAGGACGAGGAGGCGGGGAAATCAATTAATGGTGAGCGCCCAGTCGGGGAGGGGGGACGCTGACCAAGGGTGCGTGCTTAATTGGGGTGGGGGGGAGCGTGCTAAATTGGGCTGGGGGGGCGTGCTTCGTAGTGGTTTGTTAATAATAATGAAATAAACTCGTTTCAAAACGAAATTGTTGGTTTTGTGTCACTTAAGGTGATCAGAATGATTACTGTCTTTAGAAATCAGTTAACTAAGTTAAATTTGGATACCGAAGTTAACTGCAAATACACCTTCTGCGCTTGATTCACGCCTTCTGCGTTATTTCAACAATAGATTTTATTAGCCCTTAGTCTGCAATATTTTTAGCTTTTATATTTCGGGCATATAGCATGTATTTTTATTTATTTATTTTTTTTGATATATATTTTTTGATATATATTTTCTCAAATTATTTATTCATTTATCATATTATAGTTTTTAATTATATTAGTATACACGTACATTTTTGTAACGAGCATCTTTTTGCTCATCAATGTATCGTGTTTAAATAAAGTTATACTTATACTTAGAACGAAGGTTTCTTCAACCGTTGATAAAAAATGACATAATTTTTGTTTGAGAAAAAGTTGCCGTGACGTTGAGAGGAGATTAGCATTGAAGTAAAATTAAAGAAAAGTTTCGACAGTCTCATACACTACAAGGGTCAAGAGACAGAAACAACCATTCAAAGAAGCGAATAAACTCAGGGCTGCTAGATTCAAAAGCAATCAGGATTTTGGCTTTCTAAACCTCAATTGGAAATCGTAGACTGGAAATACTGGAGACAAATGGGGCAACCGTCATAGGCCAAATGTTCTAAAACATTCTTTACATATCTTGTTGGCCACCGACTTTACCTTTCATGCATTTGAAAATCCAAAACAGACTACAATGGTAACAACAAGAACAATTGTGCATGTAATTCTTCAAACTAAAAATAGATAATAAATAAACGATGAATTAATTTTAAATTAACCAATGAGATCATGGAAATGTAAATATAAAGAAGCTTTTACAAACTTTAAAAACAAATGGCAAGGTAGCACAGCACATGAACTGCAGAACAAGAAACAATATAAAGAAAGAAAGCGGGAGAAATTGACATTTAAATTTGATGTATGAACAGAATGATTGATTTCAGTTGAGTGACTGATGACTTAACTGAATGGTTTGCGCCCGGCTGATGCGCTAAAATGACACCTGCAAAGACTGTGATAGAAGAGATAATAATGATAATATTAACGAAAAAGAATCATCAAGAAAATGTGATTAAGTACTCTGGGTAGAACTGTCCCTCGTAGAAAATAACAAAAACGTTCGGGTCAGGAATCTGATTAACCACACAGTCAAAGGATTCCTTGGAATCACTTTGGTTCTTCTTTGGAGGAGTAACCATGCCTTCTCGGCCAACCGTGCATTCACCAACCAGGACTCTGCTGAGGTACATGTATCGGTGTCCATCATTGTCTGGTGGAGAGAAAGAGGACTGGGCTGGGTGAAGGGCATCCTTGACAAAGTACAAGCCCTTTCCATACATGTCTGTTGGTGCTGAAAGAATTGTAAATATCAAACTGGAGCACTGTTTGAGTTAATGTCGTTAAACCCAAACCGAAGCAAGCACAACGGCCCAACACAGTAAAGGAACCAGTCGGTTATTGAAGTAAAAAATAAGCGAAGAATCCCAGGAGCGGGAAACGCGATAGACCAAATTACGTGGCACGACTTTTCTAAACCAGTCATAGTGAGAGGGTAAAAAATCACCTGTACAATTCTGAATTACCATCGATACATAGGTGAAAATGGGATAGTTAAGCTGTTGAGCAACTTGACAATGGCATAAGAAAACAACACTCAAATTTTTTGTGTCTGAACTGTAGGATATTGACATTTTTTTTTACTCAAACTAAGGTTTCATTTGGTGTTTTAAAAATGCTTAGGATTAAATATTTTCTAAATGTGAACACACGAGATTTGCAAACTAACATAGGGAAAAAATCCATACTTCATACCTTTTTTGTTTTGGAAGAGACAAAAACCCGTTTCATTTATTTGTTGGCATTTGCTTCCCGGGATTCCGAGGAACAGTCGCTGTTCATTGCTTCCTTTTTCCTTGTCCTTTTTTTGCTTTCGCATAGCATATGTCCTGTATAGAGCTGGATTTTGAACTCGTGCAATTCTCAAGATCATAATTTTGCTATGACACATTTTTCGAGTATGATTCTGAACTTCTTGGTATTCCTGTGCATCGTACACAGGATTCAGCTCAACAAGATGAACGGTAAGTTCTTCACCCTGTCGGTTTTTCGGTTGGGGGATCCAGTTACTTGGTAAAATAACATCTAAAAGGAATTATTTAAACATTGTTTAGAGTTCTTTTATCTCAACCCAATTGTGGAATACACTCAGGAAGTTTGGAGTACGTTTCATTGATATAAAAAATTTTATTAATTGTCGAGCCAGTGAAGACAGTGAACCACAGCGGAGTAAAATTAGTATGTCCGCTAGTCTCCTTTAGCGTGACGAGACCCAATAACAACTGCGGGAAATAGAAATTTACTCTGGGAGGCACGGATTTGAATCCCATTTACACATTCCAGACGTACTTAAATTCACAATAGCATGTAAAAAACAAACAAACAAACAAACAAATGTAATTCTCACTTACCTGAGAAATATAAATCAGTCATCCATTTTTAACAAGTCCCTAAACAGGGTCACGCGCATGTAACGCAAGAAATTGCTAATTAAGATTTTTTTGCCATTTTCTGAGTTATTAAGTCCCTAAACAGGGTCACGCGCGTGTAACGCAAGAAACTGCTATTAAGATTTTTTCGCCATCTTCTGGTGTTGGATTAAATGAAAAATTTCGTTAGCGTGTGGCGATTCTCTTAAGCGTATTGCGCCAGCTGAAATTATATTCTTACCGTGAAATTTGCTGAAAACTGGTTTCGGTTTTCGGGCTACAACAAGATGGAACGGGCTTCCATTGATTGGATCGTCCCTCACTTTGATTGATACCTTGAAGTCTCCAACAGCTCTTGGTGTGTAAGATACACAATAACGGCCATCTTTTAAGTCCTTCACTAGAACAGGAATATTTTTAGTTCCCTGTCGTACGGATGTGATCTCAACCGTGACGTTGTCAATTTCACTGTAAGTTGTTTTGCCGCTTGAATCCTTCGTTGTGACCGTAAAGTAGCCCACCTCTCCTTGAATACTTTCAGTTAGCCCTTGTCCTGTTCCAACAGAAAAGAACGGTTCTGTGAAGGTTACATGGAGCACACCAAGACGGAAATCTAGAGGCAGGGTATTTATCGAAGGGTATTTAGTGAGGCGTGAGTAGTCCAGTGGTCAGTACGCTGGACTCTGGGTTAAACGGCCCGGGTTCAAGTCCTGGCTGGGGCTTAACGTTGAGTCCTTAAGCAAGACACTTCACTCACATTGTTTCGTCTTCTCGGATAGGACGTAAAGCCGGAGGTCCCGTCTCTTAAAGGGTAAGGGGTAAGAGACGTTAATTTCCCACGCACGAGATTACTGTGTGCTGGATGTCCTCCCCTGGGGTGGGTTGGGTGGGAAAACAGCAGGTCCACATCAGCTTATACAGTTGCTAATAAATTCAACCTGCTTGAACAAATAAACATGATGATGATGATGATGATGATGATGATCTGAGTAATGGCGTAGAATTCTGAAATCTTTCCGCAACAGTTCCATCAAGCTGATGTTTTACGTCTAACAATTTCCTTACGTCGTTTGTTTGGAGAACTTCTCTACCCTGTCTTGTGCTCTTATACATTAACCGAAGCTTTTCGACGAGCTTCGACATCTCATTTTTCATGGCCTCGCCGTAAAGAGATTTTTCTTTGGCCAACTTGTCTGTCATCGTTTCTTCGTGTTGACGAAGAACATTTATAACACCTTCCGTCACGCTACGAACCTCTGCCGCTACTTTATCGATGCTATTATTGTATTTCGCTTTTCTTTCATTTAAAGACTCAAAATGGTTCTTCAGAAGCGAAGAGTTCTCCTCAATATCTCTCAACCTACTTTGGATACTCGCTCTCTGCTTCTTTGCTCCATCTTCAAGCGACATGATGGTGTGATCTATCGGATCTCGATGCTCCACAATGGCGCATTCTGAGCAAATGCAGATTTCGCACTGTTCACAGTAAAACTTAACGAGTACTTCATGTCGTTTACAAAAGTTTTGTTCTTTTGATTCGAGATTAATAAGTCCTCTATCCGAACCACCATGAGCTTCCAAGATATCTCTCAGTCTCTTGTGTGCAAGGTTGGACGGTAAGCGGTCAATATTGTTGTTGGGACATTCGGTTATAACTCCACAGTTTGGGCAGCTCAAACCTTTCCCAATCTGCCGTCGTAACCGGCGCTGGAGACAAGACTCACAGAAAGTATGTTGACATATAACAACTTTTGGTTGATTGGTCTCAGTAAATTGTTCCTGGCAGAGGGAGCATTCCAATTCTTTCTTGATAGCATCATAAAGAAAGTTTTTACGTCTAGCCATTAATTGATTCTCTCCTATGACGTGGTTAGAGTTTTTTTCTCAGAAGAAGCGGAAGTTTACCTGTCGCTACATCTACTAGTGCCAAGGACCCTTCGGTCTCAAGTTCCTTTATTTACGGCAACTACTTCATTTAATAGCGGCGGCACCTTCAATATTCTATATCGTGTAAAGGTAGGATAGAAGCCTAGAAATCAAAGAATTAAAGCTCGACTGTAGCTCCGGTTGGTATTCTTCTATTCTCCACCCCTTATATTGTTCGCCACAACGGAGGAAGTGTTAGTTCAGCCCAAGACCAAGACAACCAGAGCGCTTGGGGTAGCGCCGTTTTCCGAGAAATCCGACACATCTCTACCAACAATACTCTGTGCAGAGATGGATACACGTCAAGGTAAGCAGTATAGAACCAAAGATAGATAGAGGTGAAAATACAGCTGTCTAATCAAAGAGGAAATTTTATGAATAGATACTTTCACGATACAGGATAGACTTCAGACTAAGAATGCAAGAATGCAATGCATATTGTGGGCGAAGTTACTAGCAGCCGGAACCTGGCAGAGTCTATAATTACCATTTGCTGCGGATGGTAAAGAATTGTTCAAACTCTTTTCCTGTTTAGTGTTGTTCATGCACCTCGCTAAGTTCGATTGCTGGTTTAATTTTTTTTTTCTTTAAATTTGCCATTTGCTTTCGCTTTCCATTTGAACAGGAAGTAGAAACTATCATTCAATGCATATAATATATGTAATTTATTCTAAGCACAAGCCAGAGATTAATAGAGAAATTCCTTTAAAGTGCATGAACAGACTTCTTTAAAAGCTGAAGATCGCTTGTCATGCAATATTGTCTACTATTGATAGTTTTGATAAGGTTGAGGTGTTTGTAATAGGGAGATTGAATTATTATCAGTTATTCTGTATATACAGTGGTGGGCTGTACATGCATTTTGACAGAATATATGGTAGACCTCCAAGTCTTAAGGTTCCTTAAGCTCTTACTGCTATGATTCTTATCCTTGGTACTTTTTCAATCATGGTTTTCAAACCTAAGAGATGAATAATTCCAGTTATTAAAGGATAACCGAATCCTGGTCAATTCTACATATTGCGGTAACAAATGTCACTGCCTCATTTTTAGGATTATAATTTACATGTACACACCCATCCCACTTCCACTTCCCCATTGCACCTGTGAGTATTAAGGTAATAATCCAATGTCAGAGTAAATTTTTTATTTAGCTTTATTTATTTGCAAATAATTTTACTTTTAATTTAAGATCATTATATATACACATCAAAGCTTCAGTTACTCTCACTGCCAACAACACTGCATCTATATGTTGTAACATTCATGCAAAAGTTATCTCTTAATTCTGTTTCTACTTTTAATCAGTACCATAATGCAGGTAGAATGACCAACCTCTAGTCTGCTACCTAATAAGTATGCTGTTCTTAGGCAAATAAATGTATGCCAAATATTTCATCAAATCTCTGGTATAAGAAGAGAAAATTAATTATTATGTCTGCTGCAATTTATCTGTTTGTTTTTTTTTGAAAGGATTGTTTTTCATGATCTTATGTACTAGTTGTAGGTAGCCTTCCTCCATATATTAGTAGATAGGCAGAATATAAATGTATATTTGTTAGGTAGTTGTTTGATAGTCTAGCAATATAATGATGACTCTTCTTGTGAATAGTGGTTTGACTGTGAAGCAAGATTCAATTGGCAGTCAACCAGTTGATCTGTCTAAAGTTCAAGATCTGCATATTAGCTAGTACAGTAGGCAGAACACTATTAGCTCAAACTCCCAGAGGAAACAAAAAATGGTTTGAGTGAGCAGGGATTTGAGTTGGGTGGTACTAGATGACTGAAAAAATTGGAAATCAACAGAAATCGAATCTAATTACCAGAGTTACCATGGTCCACCCACTTTGAATTGATCAAGTTTTAGTGGGCTTCTACTTTATATTTTCAAGTTTACTGATACTTCTTGACTGATATTGGTGATCAGTATTTGACTCTTATTATTTCATACTGATATCAATTAATTAATTTTGTAGTGCTTTGCATCTTTCAATAAGTGTAACTTAACTAAATGACTGGCTTGTTGCCATTAAAAGATGACTGGCGTCTATTTTATTTTCCTTTTCCCCTTCCTTTTGTTGTGAGACAATCATTGAATAAGGGATGATAGGTGAGGGATAAGGACAACCACAGAAGGGGTTGATTAAAAAAGTAAAAACTGATCATTAGTGGAAAGGAGTCCAAGGCACTATTTCAGCTTGACAGCAATCTAACTACTTTGTCTGTAGGTGGTTTCATATGGGTATGCTGCAGTTTATTTTGGGAATAGAATCAAAGAAATTAATACTGATAAAAGTGTTGTGAGAAAAACTGTCAGTCTCTCCTAATGTGCAGTGTTTAGGCTTTTGTAGCAGGTATAGACATGCAAATAATGACAGGAATGAGAGGAAGAGAAGGAGGAGCATGGCAAGGTTGATTAATGGCCCATAACTCCTCGAGGCCTTACAGTTCTCTAGTCTCCACTCTTTTTTTAAATTTTTCTAGCTCTAATAAGTAATGTTATGGACTGAGAAAAATCCCCTATCCCCTGAAATATGATCATCTTAATTAACATTTGATTATCTTGCTACTCTTTTGAATTAAATTTCTGTTTTCTACTCTTCCATTTAGGATGGCCATGCAAACATGCAGCACAGATGTCCTATATGCCTTGACAGCATGACAAAACCCCTAACTATCAAGTGTGGCCATGTTTTTTGTGACCATTGCTTAAGTCAAGCTTTGAGGATATTGAATGTTTGCCCCATTTGTAAAGAGCCACAAGGTGTTGTAACAGGCAATCAACCACCAGGACAGATGACTTGGTCCACTTTGCGTTCCAGTCACCCAGGTTACTCTGGTATGTTGTGTCAGTTAGTTTGTGGTAATATGGGAAAGTACACTCAGAGACTTACCAATTAAATTCCTTTATTCAAACAATTTGAGGCTTTGAAGGAATCATCAGCATGAGCTATCATGTGATTTTATTAAATATTGTGACTGAAAGAAGGAAAATTAATGACAGAGTTAAGTTAAATCAGGTAGAAATTTTCCAAACTTTGGTCCAAAACTGTCTTTGCATCTGATTTTCCCTCTACTTATTTAGTTCTACTTTCACAGTTTGAGTATATGGATTGAGTGTCTTGTGTTATGTTCTTTGGATGTATTATTGCAAGAAATGAGTGCTGATATTGGTCAATAATGAAGCATTACTCTAAGGGTCTATAATCAGCATGTGTTCTGGAAAGTAGCCTCAGTGTGACTCCTTTTGAGGAACCAAGATTGGACTGACAAGATAACAATAGAGTTTAAGTGTTACTGTGCCAACGTGACAATCAACTTGACTTTCAATGACCTATTTGACCAAAATGAAAAACGGTTTTATAAGAAATTTTCTTTTTTTGCGTAATATAAATGCATTCCTGGAATAATTTAAGTTTTAATACATAGTGGGTCTTCTTTCTCTCTCCTCAGGGTGTGGTACCATCTGCATTCAGTACTCGTTTCAATCAGGAATTCAGGGCCCAGAGCACCCAAACCCTGGTCAGCAGTACAGTGGTACACATCGTACTGCTTATTTACCTGATAGCCATGAGGGTAGAGAAGTACTGCAGCTGCTACACAAAGCCTTTAATGCACGATTGGTTTTTACCGTGGGAACTTCCATAACAACAGGACTATCCAATCAGATCACGTGGAACGATATACATCACAAGACAAGTACGACAGGCGGTGCCCATGGGTAAGTTAGTTTGCGGTCAAAATGAATGTGTGGCACAAGTGCACTTACTGTTTTTGTAATTTTTACTGGAGAGTTTGACACTCTATGCTCCTTGTTAGTCAAATCTTTGACTCTTCTATTTGCTTATTAAATAAATAAGTAATTTGGGACATGATATGCCATAAAATGAGATCATCTAACAACCCTTGGTAAAAGTAGCAGAAGAGAATCATAATGTTGCAAAATAATGTCAGTCTGGGGTCAAAAATTTGGTTGTTCTATATTTTTTACCATGTCTGGTCAAGAAAACTCACACCATCGCGAACTTACAGCTATGATAATTAGAGATTTGGTCCTACATTACTCAATCGAAATGCTCTCTGTTGTTGACATTTGTTGGAAATCATATATTCAATCTTCTTCCCTAGATTTGGTTATCCCGATCCAGACTATCTTCAGCGGGTTAAGGAAGACCTTGCTGCTAAGGGAATCCGTTGACGCTCATGACGCGCTGTCCACAAGATGATAGAGCTGGTACTGATTGTCTTCACACAGAATTTTAAGGAGGCCAGGCTGATATTATGGGCTAGTAATATTTGGAGACCACTACATTGAAGCGATTTCCTTAACACAAATTTCAGTCCTGGATCTAAACCGCTCTGAAAAAAGAATGAGTTTTTCAAATGTTTTCATTTGAATCCAGGGAAGTGCATTACGTTGCTTCTCCTATCTGTTAAAGTGGTTCCCTATTGTGATGAAGAAATGAGCGTTTTTCTCTTGGAACAGATATGCTGTAGTTTGTTTTGATAAATGAGTTAAATGTTATTCTACTTTCATTTGATTATGGTTAGTGGTATGATAAGAGGAAAACAAAAACAATTTCTTTCAAAAATACATGAAATGTCTGGCTTTGATCGATCATTTCACCATTGTTAACTAAAAGAAAAGGTTTGGAAACTGAGGTGACTTTCTTCTTGATAATAAATGCCAAATTGATAAATTGATAAATTGATAAAGGGAGGATTATGCGACGAAAAAAGGAAACCCACACCGAAAAACAAACAAACGAACGAAAACAAAACAAAGAAATCCGCAAAGACACTGTTTGCGCTAGTCAAAAAATTTTATTGATTACATAACACTGTTATAACTATTGCCTTAATGACTGACAGGTTATAAAGTTACCATGTCATGTTCTGCCTTCAAGTATTATGTAGATATTAATGAGATACTTGAATCTAAGAAATTTCAAAACACATTGCAAGAGCATCTACTTCATAGGTTACCTGTAGGTACAGTCATCTTGCGGAAATACCACCTCGACAGCTTGAGGATAGCGTTGTTATCTTCACATGTCAAGAAACGTGTTCAATGATGTCAAATGTTTGAAACAGAAGAATTTATGGGATCTCATTGATATCCATATAATACAATATTCAATGCACTTTTGAACCATGCACAGATAACAAAAAGAAAATGAAGCATGCATGCGATCATGACACCGATCATGCGATCTTTCTCTTCGCCCCTCGACTTGTCGCACCGAACCAAAAAAAGCTACCTTTGATCGTAGCAAACTATTCTACTTGTATTCGCCTCAGAACATATACTTTTGCTCAACAGCCAGCTTTCTCATCCAATAATCATAGAGGAAGATAGAAAAGAAATGCTAAAAGTCCTCCCAAAAAGTTTATTCCCGAGGCGCTCAACACTCCCACAAGGCTTTGTGACTCTCCGGGCCACTTAAGTCGACCAATGAAGTTTTCACGCACCCAAAGTTAGCACCTATTGAACAGTTCTTAAAAGTTTGTGGTGAAGAGGTCTCAGGAATGTAAACAATGCAGAGAGGATCGCAGTCTTTCTCTCTTCCTTAAGCAGGCTCGCCAGCTTTTGTCATGATACGTCTTCTTATGCCTCAGTTTAAGGACAAACGGAACCGAAATTCTCAAACTCTTATAAATTAACGACTGCCATATTACTGCTTTTGTGACATCGACAAGTTTATATGCTATAGGTGGGTAATAAAACAGAATAAATGCGAATCAGGTAATTTGGATGTATCCAGGAAGTTGAAATTGTAAATTGGCCACCGTAACGAGTTAAAATGCTGACGTTTCGAGCTTTAGCCCTTCATCAGAGCGAATGACGAAGGGCTAACGCTCGAAACGTCAGCCTTTTAACTCGTTACGGTGGCCAATTTACAATTTCAACTTAGTAGATATAACCAAATTACTTTGTTACCCCCACCGACGAAACACCACAGTTTCTTTAGAAACTTTCAGTCCTTAAATGCGAATCAGTTAAATGTTATTTGGGGGTTTCGCACCATTGAGAGCTCGCTTTGCCACGTTAGTTCGCCCCCCAAAAAAATAAAAGTTGGCCTCCCTCCTCAAATCTTTCAACTCGTTTCCTTACCCAAAAACATATTTCTAGTCATACATTAAAGGAAGGCCAGGTTACTGAAAAACCCAATCGTGTGAAATCCCAAAAAACCTCACTTCCAAGATACTTATCGAAAGTATAAGCAACGGGCTTAAGATTTAAAACTCCATAGCTGAGTTGATATGATATCACCGTTGTGAGGTTGGCTTATCCGAGTACGATTCATGAAATGAACGGTCATCTCACACAATAAAAGGAGATACTTGTCGGAATTATTACTAAAATAGTCTTCGATCATAATACTCCTTATTTTACTTTTAAGAGATTCTGTGGTCAGCGGAAGGTGATTAAGTATTCGGGATAGCATTGCCAGTCGTAGAAGACCACAAAGATTGTAGGACCAGCCATCTGATCTACGACGCTGTCGTAAAGTACCGTAGGATAATTAGGGTCCTTTGGAGGAGGAGTGAGAAGGCCTTGCCTTCCCACTGTGTATTCACCCACCAAGACTCTGGTGAGATACATGTAGCGCCATCCATTCCCATCTGGCGGCGAATAGCTTGGCCGGGCTGAGTATGAGGCATCTTTAGCAAAGTACACACCATTTCCATAGACAGTTGCTAAAAGACATCGATGATTTAACAATGTGAGAATAGCGCTAGAGATATTCGAAATTATCTTAGGTAAATTCTTTTAATTCTAGATGTGAAGTTTTCAGTTACAATTCATATATTTTCTCCCGAAATTAATGCTGTGAGACGCAAATTCAGAGCAGCGAGGGTCACGACGGAGTCTGAGCGCTTAAACAAGAGGTCTGAATGACGACGGCGCTGAAAACACGGACACATGTTGTAGCTAGTATACCCTTGATACCATTGTGTATATTTTCCTGTTCGAATCCAATTTAGACGTGAGAAAAACACTTTCTTTATATCTGTCAGCTCGAGAACACCTTGAATCGGGCCAGCCAAAAACGGTGACTGTAACTGTTTTGAAAGACATAGTATAGAGGACATATAAAGAAGCGAAGGAGTGCTTCGACATACCGGCAAGCGCGGGGCCTTTAACGTGCACCTGACCCCTAATTTTTTTTTTCACTTAAAAAAGTCTTCCTTCTTTGGTGAGTATTTCTTCGAAAAAATTGTTGGATTTGGTTAAATCCTCTTTTTTTTATGCCCTGTTGAGGTCGAGATCCGAATGGACCACGACCGCGTAAATGGGGATCTGGGCAGTGTAGACTTGTGACGTCACTTCGAGAGGACGCTCAAGGAATTCTCAGCCAGTCGTCGACCTGCGAAAGCCTTTCTAGCACTAGATTCATTCTACGGCATATTTTCTACCAATATCGATCTAACCTTCCAAACATAACCTGTGAACTGTGCAAAATGGCGCGAAATACAGATTGTTGGGTTCTCGAAGTGACGTCACATTAGTCGCCAGACTCTTGATCCTTGAAACGCAGTCGTGAGTCAAAATGGCGGTGATTTTAATGCGATTTTCCGTACTTCAACGGGGCACAAAAATTTATGGATTTGACCAAATCCAAAAATTTTTTCGAAGAGATACTCACCAAAGCATGAAGATTTTTTTAAAGGAAAAAAAAAAACTTAGGGGTTAGGTGCACTTTAAATCCTTAAAAAATAGCTGTTTGATTGGGTGAAGAGTTTTATTACCTTTATACCTAATGACTTTTTTTTGTCAGGAAAATCGTAAAACTAAATTAAAAGAATCTTACCATTTCTGCCACGGAAATTTCTGTTGAAACTCGTTGTATTAATTAGTTGGCAATTTTGGCCCGGAGTTCCATGGAAGAGTCGCTGTTCGTTGCTACCTTTTCCCAAGTCCATTTTCCGTTTGTGGATCATGTACGTTCCGTAGAGGACTGGATTTTGTACCCGCTCTATCTTCTCAATTTGATTTGGGCATGTTTGCTGGAATCTTCCCTGGACATCTTGGTACTCCTGTAAATGTTGATTAGGGTCCAACTGAACCAGATGTACTGTCTGTTCAATACCCTGTGGATCTTTTGGTTGGGGAATCCAACTACTCGGTGGCTCTACGCCTAAAGGCAACGAAAAGGTATTTAGTAAAACGCATTTCCGTTCAATTTTCTGTTAAAGTTATTATTCGAAAATAACTGGATCACGCTTGCTTGTGGACTTAGATGCAATCAAACCTTATCATTTTATCACCACAGTACAAAATCCCGGCAAATTCGAAGGCAGCGACATACGAAACCATCAGTTCATGTCAATTGATGCCTTGTCTATAGTGTTGATTGTCAGGCAAATTCATTATAATGACAAAGAAACCTTATGAAATCTTCCGTCTTGACCAATTTTTTTGTTTCGGTCCCAAAATACGACGATCTAACATCAACTAACTTAGTGTACATAAACGTGTTACCTTTACGCAGATCAACTCTCTCTATCTTGGAGGTATCGCCGTACGGATCTTTCATCATCATTGTTTTGAGGTTAAATTTTAAATCTCCATCCTCAGATTCGATGGTCACGATGCTCTTCTGATCTTGGTGAGCAATTTCAATCTGCATGTTTATCTCGTTGTCGAAAGCCACCATTTGGTTTCCATCGTCAAACATCCATTCGATATCCTTTGCTAGCGCCTCTGCACGCTTGCGCTTGTGTTCTTCTTTCGTAATATGTTGCAGAATCTTGTGTATCTCTCCAACAACTTCAAGAAGATCGTCTGATTGCCCATGCGCTATTATGCGTCCGACGGATTTCTCCACGGATACCTCCACATCGTATCTTTGTTCAAGGGTGTGTATTCTTCGAAAATGTTCTTTGGAAAATTTAGTGATTGCATTGTCCTCCACCACTTTCTTTTTCGAGTTTTCTTTTGTAATGCCGTTGATTTCCTCAATTGCTTCTCTAATATCTTCTTTGCAAGCAGCGAAAACAATGAGCTGGATCTTTTTGCTATAATCTTTTTGAGGCATTTTCGAGGATGTGTTGTTCTTATCTTGATCCTTGCTGAAACCAAAGTACTCTCCTACCTTTATGAAAGTTCGCTGAAAGAATCCGGGCTTTTCAGCAGGTGTCTCTCCGGAGGCTTCTTGTAACGCCAATCGAAAATCTCTTATCGTTTCCTCTTCAAAAAGGATCATCTTGATCAAGTGTAAGGAAGCAGGCTGCTGGTCATGAAAGTCGCGAATCGCTGACAACATTGCTTCGGCACATATCTTAGGGGAAAGACCAAAGGCACCGGTTCCGATTGCTGGGAATGAAATGGATGATATGCCTCTCTTTTCAGCCTCTTGAAGACACTTCATAATCGATCCTCTGATGCTTTTCATACCTGTAATTGTAGCAGGAGGCACAATGTGGAACACGAAATTTGCCTTCAATTTGCCTGCATCTGTAACAACAACGGAGCCAGGTTTTTGTGCGCCTCTTGCGTTACATTCCCTCTGAATGGAGTCACCTGCTGCTGAAAGAATTACCTTTGCTATTCCACCATGCATGGCCAATTGCGCATTCGATATGAGCACGATAGCATCAGTCGTCTCTTTTGTGATGTCACCAGGTTGAACTTTTAAACACAATGCTCCAATAGTTGTTTCAAAATGATCTTGGCGCCGTTCACGCAGTGGTGTAAAGCCCACTCTCTGAATTGATGATGCTTGGGGGGTCCCCTCATGCTGAGTTCGCAATTGCGGCAGCTGTGGGGTGTTGCTTTTCTTTCTTCTATCTAATTCGTTTTCGAAAGCTTGCACTGTGGGGCGATCTTGATCATAGAGAACGAATCTTATCTCTTTGATTGTTGTTGTAGTATTATTTTGCTCGTATGATACCACTTCGTCAAAGAAAATCTCGGCAACTTCTTTGCGGGGAAACTGAAGAGTACCTGTACCGATGGCTGCAAAAGCAATCGAGGTCAATCCACGTCTGGCGGTTTCCATAAGGCATTTTGAAATTAATTTTTTCAAAACCTATTGGAACAAAACGAGAGCATAATAAAAAGTTTGGTGGTAGACATCGTAAAAATCGTGTCGCCTGAGGTGTCAATTGATAACTAATTAACCTTGTCAAGAAAATTTCCGCAAAAAAAGTAAAGAAGTAAAAGCGAGTACGCCATGCCTTGTTAGGCATCTTTGCTTACTTTTTTATTGCCTAGAACGGATATTCAACAAATAAATAATTTCTTAACCGTTGCGTTTGATTAATGTTGAGATGGAATTCGAACCTGAATTGCTCCCACCTGAAAATCAGCAGCATAACGACGATTAGCCGTAAACCATACTTAAAAACAACAAAAAAAAAAACAACTACAACAACTACAAAAAAAATCGAGTTTCCAGATGGGATTTGAACCCACGACCCTCCGTGATCTAGTCGGATGCTCTAACCACTGAGCTACAGGAGACTCTATAGTGAGCAAGCGTAAAAATTGTTTATTTTATCTTTACATGCTCACTTTGGAGGCTGGTTGGCTGCATGTGATGCTTTTATGTGACAGCGTGATGCTGTTAGTGCGCTAGCTGATGTTTGGCTGTGTAGCCGCGTGATGCGGTTCCAGTGAATACCCACTAATTGACCCTTGCTCACCATAGAGTCTCCTGTAGCTCAGTGGTTAGAGCATCCGACTAGATCACGGAGGGTCGTGGGTTCAAATCCCATCTGGAAACTCAATTTTTAAAAATTGTTTATTTCAACAACAACAAAGGAGTAAAAAATGGCGCAGTGGTACCTTTTTTCCTCTTCCATTTTCCCAATTGGAACAAATAGCGAAAATGACTGCCTTGCAGCGGAGATTTCCTGATTGATTGTTTACAGCAATTTCGCCAACGCTCACATTCCCAAGACTAGTGCATTCTTGTTGTAAGACAGGCCCAGCAGCCTGACTAAGGGACCTTGCACAAGGATTTTGTGACAAATCGAGATTTGGTGCTGCTGTTCCCACCAAAATGTCGGCCTAAAGGATCAAGCCACAGATTGCCAAATGTGAGAAAAGAGAAAAAATATTAACTGAGCTAATCTGTGGCTGGTACCTGCAAATGAGACGTCATTCCTTATTTAGAAATTCAATCTTAGTCCGAATGCCGCTACCTAAAAATTAACAGTTGATTTTAACTCACTACGTACGTAGTAATGTTGTTTATATGATCACCTGTTCTTTAGAAAGATCCCCACTTTTCACTGTAATACGAATGCCCCCTGTTGTAAAGGTTTTCGTAGTTGGCAGCTTTTTCGTCATACTTGCTCCTCTAAGATTTACGTCGGAAATGGCAACTGAGGCTCTGTTACCTTTATGGTCGCCGAAACTTGACTCTCCAGCAAATCTATTTTTGAACTCATTGTGAAAAGCCTCCACAGTCTGAACATCGTTGTTAATTAGGTGAATCTCAGACAAATTAGAGTGCGGGTTTTCGTCGCAGAATTCGAGTACTGCATCCAAGATGACTTTGGCGCAAAGGTCACGTGGAAAGCCAAACACCCCAGAACTGACGGCTGGAATCGACATTGATTTTTGCTGTTTTGCCTCTTCCAGGGAATTGGTGATAGCTTGCTTCAAGTAACGTTCCTGTCTCGTTTCTTCGCCACTACGTTTCTTCTTATCTGCCTCTCTGTCCCACTTAGGCCCAACTGCATGGATAACTTGCTTGCAAGGTAATCTTCCGGCACCAGTTACTACTACGTGTCCTTCGAGGAGACGGCCGTTCTGGGCTACATAGTTGTTGCATTCATCTTGAATCACTTCTCCGCCTGCTCTTACAATTGCTGCTGCAAGGCCTCCAATGTGCCTTAATTCGTCATTGGCTGCATTTACTATGGCATCTGTACGTTCTTTCGTTATATCACCCTTCATGACCGAAATTCGCTTTCCACCTTTTGTGGAAAAACTGCAAACAGATTCTCCAGCTTCGGTAAGGTTCTCTTCGTTATCTTCAATCTCAAGCATCATTTCGTCTTCGGTGTATTCAGAGGTTAAAATGACACACTTGTTCTTTTCACCCACTGCTTTAAGAAAGGCGTTCCCTTTGCCTTCCATGAAAAATTTGGTCATTCCTGGTTTTTCAACTGGAATACTTTCTTTTTGAACAGCACTGACTAGGTTTTGAATTTGCAGCGAGCACTTTTCTAGTCCTTGAGCGGTTCCAGAAATTTCAATTCCTCTATAATCCGTAGCTGCTCGTATGTCAATGGAACAATCAGATAGTTCATTTTTAATTCCGTCGAGTTTTTCTTTCCACACAGTGGAAATGAATCTTGCAGATCCTTCTTGGACTGGAATTGCAGTATGCAATATGGTGTTTCTGTCCAGGAACTCTTTCACGGTATGAAAGCATTCCTCAGCATCTTTAGTAATGCCTCTGACCCACACATTCCTTCCAGACTTGTCAACTTCTATTCCAACTTTCAAATCTGATACCAACGAGGATTGTAAAATGTTCCATGAACTGCTTTCGAGCACTTGGGCATTCTCAGGTGTTAGGGAGATATTCTTCTCGTGGGTGCAGTTTTGCAGCATAGATTCTGCTTCTTTTGTGTTCCTTACATCGACACCAACCACTTGAACTTCGTTAGGACTTTGGCCTTCATCACAGAGAATCACAGCTTGAATGGATTTCTGTTTCAACAAGTCCTGTATGAATGTTAAAACACGGTGTTGTTTCAAAACATCTATGACTTTGGGCGGTAGCTCAGTTGTTCGTTCGACTATCCTCGAAATAAATGTGATCACTTCAAGTTTTACCACGTGAATGTTTTTTCTTGGACCGTCGAAGCACAGCGTTTCCTTTTTACTGTCTACAGTGATGGTTAAGTGTCGGTACTCCTCTCTAAGCTTTTCACACAGGCCCGACATCTCCAATAAAATCAGTCTGGACTTCGGATAGTTTGTTTCGACCACTCTAACCACAGACTTCATCAGCTCTGAATCTTCCTCGACTTCATGAACCAACTTATTTAGCTGTTGTTCCTCCTGTTCTACGTCAGCCTTCTTGCCAATAATCATAGCTAATCTTTTGTGTTCATCAAACGAGACCAGACAATTGGTTTTTCCTTGGGAGGGAGATCGCCCCTGCCAACGCTTTGAGACCTCATCAAATATTTCGGAAGGAACGGGCACATCAGACCTCTTGAAGTTCAGCAGGAAACTCTTAAACCTCTCTGCTTCTTCTTCCCATGAAAGGTCGCTTTTGCTTTCCGTGGGAGAAATATTGACTGCCGAGCCACCAGAGAACTCCACTTCTAAATTGTACTCCTCGAATAGCGTTAGTAATTCACTCTCGTGATAAGTCTTAATGTATTGATAAATAGCAGGATCAAAAGTCATTTTCATTCCTTTGAAACCTGCGGTTTCGAGAAAGGGGTAGTGGGGGGTCACTTCTAACTTTACACCCTCAAGGGTGTGTGCTCGTGCCTGGCTTCTTTTGGTGACTTGCTGGACACCTGTAAAAAAAGAGAAAAAATCTAATGCAATACACGGATAATAATTCTGCGGTATTGCCGAGACGTCTACAAAGCACAATCGTGCATGCTTTGACAAACTAACTCCCTGGCCAGTTTTCTTACAGGCACAGTCCCGATCATTTGTCTCTTTCGACATTGTTGTTTTGCAGATGGTATCGGAGAATTTACAAATTTTGCTATCTCTACATATGGTGAACGATCCTCGCAGTAGATAGCGATATCTAAGCAATCGCGAAAATCAGACCTGAAAAAAATCAGGCCTGTACGGGATTCGAACCACTGACCTCTGCGATACTAGAGCAGCGCTCTACCAATTGAGCTAACAAGCCAACTGGGAGCAGGCCGTTAAGTTGATTCGTAATAAACCCGTGAAAGTGATAAATCAGATACAATGAAATATATGAACTTCAATGAAGTTCATATATTTCATGTATATTTCAACTATATTTCCTATAGTTCATATATATGAAATATATGAACTTCTTCATGAAGTTCATATATTTCATTGTATCTGATTTGCTATCTCTGTTGCTTAGGGTTAGTTACTCGTTACTGAAACGTTTATAAGTAAAGTATAAATGTTTCTTACTCAAAGGATCCTCAAAATGAACAATGGCCTGGTCGTTTCTAATCCTCTCCACCGTTCTGACGTCTCCCCCATTACTTCGTTTCTTATTTTCAAAATAAAGCTCAACGGTATCATCAGTTGTTTCTTTCTTCAATCCCGAGACCAGAATACATGAACAGACTGGCACTCTTTCTAGGCGAGGTTTCTTTCCGTCCAAGCCTTTTTTGTCTTTGCTAACTTTATGGAAAAGTAATTCAAAGTCTGAAACAGATAACATGTGGAGAACAGTGATATTACCACTAGTTTAGTCAAAAGTTTAAAGATTTTGGCAAACTTTTGTTGCATCAAAAGCTTATCAACTGTTAGAATAGTACACACACCAGGAAGGTCGGTACGTTGTAGCGCAACTTTAACCAAATTAAAAAAAAAAGCCGCACTAGAATAAAGATAGCACAATTACCGAGAACACGTTGTCCTAAGTATGTTTAAGGCATGACAGCACAAATTAAATGAAAATGGAAATGGTTGAGAACAACGAACTACATTTTGAAGTCGCAATTTATTATCAAATCATATCATTCCTTTTGTTTTTCGTCTATGTTTAGAGTCACTGTTATTCGGAACTATTATAGTACAAAAGAAATACTCTTTTGCAAATGAAGCGGTTTCAAAAACAAAATATCCGTGAAAGTGTTATCTAGTCTAAGTATCCTATATAATTTAGGCTCTTTCACCCTCAAAATTACCTGGTTCTCTTTCAAATAACGCTAAGGCATTATTCTTACAACCAAGATACACCTCTTCAACATCAACGTCCGCAAATTTCTCCAAATAAAAGGACAAGCAGTCCTTAGTGGTATTTTCACTGATTTCTTGAACATGAACTCTAACCGGATCAAGAGGCACTTTTTTGGGAGGAGGCTGGCGGACAACTGTTATCACCTGGCCGTCAATTTTGTGAGGCTGCTCAAGAAGGCGCTGTATGTCTGATATAAACATCAAAATAAAAATTATTAATGCAATAACTATATATTAAGCGAAAACGATAACGTTTGAGAACGTTTCTTATTATCTAACCACACCAAGTACATATAGATCACAAATAATGCACTGATCGAGTACAAATATCACGCAATATTTGGACACTTGGATGTACTAAGCTTATCTAAATGCTTCGCCTTTCCCTCCAAATAATAAATACACATAGAAATAAAGCAATTGGATTATAAATAAATGATTAGATGATTAGCATCTCAGCGGTACGGAATCTTCGAATCTGACCGGCTAATTCCGCGCACTCTTGTGGACGCTCCCATCCGAACCGGATACGAACCGCTCCGAGCTTTTCAAATCGATTCGAAAGAGGCGTAAAGACTTAAATATTGTAACAAGTTATTCGCAGTTATGGAATCAGACAAGCAAAATTATGGGCAGGCAAAATTATGGGCAAATGACCCCCGATTTGTGGGGCCGAAATTGTCATTTGTTTTTTAGATAACTAGACGGTTATCTTCAAAGTAATTTAAGAGCGATCTATCTAGTTCGACGAAGGTGAACTTACTGACTATTATGAAGCCTCTTGTTGGGGACTTAGCCAATTTTGGGATGCTCTTCTACTCCGAAAGAATCTCGATCACAAATAATACATATAGATATTCCTATCAATTTGCAAATGATAGCAGGTGAAGGGTTGACATTATCCAAACAAACTTGCAATTTAAATTATTTGAGAAGTTGAATTTTCTGCTGAATTTACAACTCCCTGTCAGAAACTATAGCTGTGAAGAGCCTCTCGTCTCCCGTCACCGACCACTGTGAGATTTAAGCTGGCTTTTGTAACATACTTTAGCTATGAACTTGGCTTATTTTTCTGAATAAAAAAAACTGAACGTATCGATAAATCTGTCAACTTGAAGACTTTTCGAGGAAAGTATTATGTACCTTTAACCTCAGAGAAAGTTATCACCGCTTCCCCTTTTTCGTTGAAATGGAAATCGGAGACATCGCCTCCTCCTGATCGTCTAGAATTCTCAAAGTAGAGAGTCACTGTATCTTCTGAGGTAGAAGGCACGATGCCGCTGACAATAATGGTGATTCCATCTTCCTCGTCATAGTCTTCGTCTTCGTCTTCTCCTCCGTTTTCACAGAAATCGACGGCACTTTCATCCTCCTCTACAAGCAGCGAGACTTGAAGACTTACTCCGCCCAAAACGTGAGATGAATGATTTATCGTCCTCTCAGCAGCTAAAAAGAGTTTCATTTAAACCGTTACATTTTTAGAATAAATTAAAAAAAACATAATAATGTAAATTTATCATAGTTCAGTCTTACCATCAGGATATTCAAAGGTGACCAGACACTTCCGAAGTTCGGGTGTCATGACCACCGCAGACACAGGACCCCCTTTAGAACGTCTGGCGTTTTCAAAGTAGTTTGTTACCAAATCCTCAGATGCACCCTCTGGCAAACCAGTTACTTCAATTGTGCACTGCTTGGGAATTGGCGATCCACTCTGGGCTGATGCTGCTGAAGCTGACTCCTCGGGGGAAGGAGGTTCTTCTGTGGTACTATTTCGCTGTCGCCTGATGTTTGGACGAGTGTCTTGATATTCAAACTGTTAAAACGTGGAAATTAATAGCTGCTTTCATTGGGCTGGGCACCTCGACCCTCATGAACATTCAAAACAGATGATACATTTTTTAAGGCTATTTTTTATCAGCGTAAACAAAAACACAATGAGAAATCCTATGTATTCTTGTACACCAATCAGCACTAGCCGATTCAGTTAATTCCTGAATACCAAAATGTGAAGAACGGGAAATTTTACCAAAACATTTCATTAAAACCGCGCAGCGCTAACTAATTGTGGGGTATGATTTGATTTGAATAAATTGATACATTATTAGGTGAGCATACTGAGGTATTGGTTTACAAGGAAACTTTTATCTCCCCTATTTCAAATCAAATTGCTTCCTCTCTTCTGGACCACCTTCAGCCTTCGCGTCTATTCTAGGGACACCGACTTCTATCCAAGCGAGGAAAATGCTTCAGAAACTTTTTTATTCATTGCCTTCATTCAGAGGGACACCTCTACTGCAAGGAACATGTTCTCTCCACAAAAATTGACTCACCTCATCCTGGGAAGCACTCCTCTTTTCCTCCAATCTGGAAAATTTTCCTTGATTTAGTGGCATGCGAGAAACGTGAAGCGTGCAGTCCTTAAAAGTATGGGGTCGGCTGGACACTCTTTCGGCGACTACATCAGTTACATGTAAACAAAAAATTACTAGTTAGGTTCTATGTTGTGTAAATGTCATAACGATCCCATTAGTAACAAATGCGCGTTAAAACCCTGAATTGTATTTGGTTTTGAAATCAAGGACGACCTGAACGCTTTCTCGTTCACCTCTTGGATTTAGGTACCTCAGCTTAAAGCAGACAAAGACACCTTTCTTTCTTTCTTAAAAAAGAATACTTACTCCATTTTGCTAAATATTATTGAATAGCGAAAGTTGTAATATTCCATGAAGAAAATGCAACGAAAAACTGAGTGGAGTTTACAGGAAACACAAGGACGAGGATAGGGCTCATGTCGTTGTGGCCTTACTTTAATTGATTCTGAAAATCCGATATCAGCATAATTAGTACGCCTGAAACATCAAACGGCGTTTCTTTATTGCTCATAACAACAAACTGCATTGATTATCCTTCGATAAAAGAGGTTACATCTAGAGACATTTAACTCACAAAGCACCACCTGAAGAAATCTCTTAATTATAAGGTTTGAGGCTGCTTTTGCGTGTAGTTATTATCGCGAAAAGTTATATGTCGTTGTGGCCTTATTTCAATTGATTCTGCAAAATCCGATATCAGCACACTATGTGCGCCTGAAACCTATACACACACACACACACACACACACACACACACACACACACACACACACACACACACACACACACACGTGTGTGTGTGTGTGTGTGTGTGCGTGTACGTGTGTGTGCGTGTGTGCGCGCGCGTGTGTGTGTGTGTGTGTGTGTGTGTGTGGATATGTATACTATTAGACGCTTTGGTGTGCAGCAATCGCTGAGTATTTTTCAACCGATGAGTTGTACTGTATTTTGAATAGTCGTTTGGCGAGTCATAATACGAGTAAAAATACTCAGCAATACTACACACTAAAACGCGTAATAAGTTATCTATTATCCAACTGCTTTAATTCATATGCATTTCTTTCTTATAAGGTGGGAAAAAGCGAAGCAGATAGAGAAGCGAAGCACGTGTGGCAGACCGGTTAAACAGGTTTTTTACAAAATAAGCAACTGTTCAATATCGCGTGATATTTGTACTCGATTCGCGCGTTATTTGTACACTACTTAATGCAGTTAGATAACAGCAGCACTAATCGGGCAGTTTTTACACAATTATGGTTTTTGGTGGTATTCCTTGAAACGATAGTATTTCATATATCAAGTGTTGTTGCTTCGAACGGTATTTCTTTATTGCTCCTAAACAACAAACTCATTGCATTGATGATCCTTCGATAAAAGAAGTTGCATCTAGAGACCTACAACCCACAAAGCATCACCTGAAGATATCTCTTAAGATTTGGAGCTATACTTTTGCGTTTATTTGTTATCGCAAAAAGTTAGATACCAAAAGGTTGCTATTACTAAAGCAAGACTGTAAACGTGCGCGTGGACGCGCGTTTGAACTCGTCATGAAATTCATTCAAATTCATTGACATTCGCAAAACCTTTTCCCTCGCTAAACTTTCAGAAGTTTATGTAGGTTACTTTTCCCAATGCTCAATGCAAACAGAATTACACGAAATGTCAATGCACTTTTCACTCTGCCCTTATCCAGCGAAGAATAAGGTATATAATTGACATAGGAAGTTTAGTTTCGGTTTCATGTGTTAAGCTTTGTAAGTAATTTTTGTTTCTGTCATCCCTAGTCACTCTGCACTTAACGGTAAGATTAAACAACCACTGACAAAGTGAATATATTTCACGATTATCAATTAAAACTCTGACAAACTGAACTCAAACCGATCTACCTTGCGCTTCTTCGAAGTTGACCCTGGCCACTCGACGATCAATTTCGATGCTTTCGACATCTCCACCTCCAGATTCTCGCACCGATTGGAAGTATATCATTAGCTCTGTTTTGCTCGTTCCATCCGGAAAATCAGAAACAAAAATCCGTGAGCTACTCATGTTAAGTTCCTCAAGATCGAACCATGTTTCTTTATGATTCAAAAATCCTGGTGAAAAGACGGAAATGAATAATTCCGAGAAACGGGGTTTTCTGAATATGAAAAATGTTTCATTTTCACAGGAAGCTGATTGGTTACCATGACTAAGCTGAATCGCTATTGGCTTGTCAAAACTGAACCTCTATTGTTTTGTTTCTCAGAAAATTTCGTCATCGCTTCGGCAAGTTCTGAGAAAAAAAAAAAAACACATTGGAAAGTAAAATTTGAATACCGAGAACTGTGCTTACGGATGCGGAAAGCCTTGGTGTATCAAGTGAATCACTTTTGTGCTTCTATCAGAGAATTCGTGTACTAGCATTTGCTTCAACGTTCTCTTCTCCATTCCAACCACCTAATTGCTCGGGGATTCCCCGCACTGCGTGGTAAAAACTTTGACAAACAAGGTTTGGCGTTTCATGACCCTTTGTTTTGAGACGGTTTAGATTACCTTCTAGAAAATTTAGAAGAATCTCTTAACACAGCCTTGAGGGAAAGCGGTTTCCTCGCAGATTCAACTCTTTATGGCCTCTGATCTATCCAGTCTCGTGGACGTTAGCCCAGAAGACATTGCCAAGAGCATCTTGGTTTCAGGAATTACACCAGGAACCACAGAAGAAGCTGTTGTTATTCACTTTCAGCAGCGTAAACATGGCGGCGGCGACGTGTCATCTGTGAAATTCTCACAAAATGGAGACAATGCAGTGATTACATTTGAAGAAAAGGAAAGTAAGTTTATTGTGTTTCATTCCTTTTCGTTTTTTGGTATCATTCCACGAGCAATTGCAAGTTTAATAGCAGAAATCGCAATTTGTGACATTTGAGAGCGAATATGTCCGTTTGATATTCAGATACCTGAATGAAAGAAACACAAGAGCCTTCCTTTCGTCGCTCATGTAGTATGTATTCGAAACAATCTACTAAACCCTTTGGTTATCGGGTATTTAGCTGAGGGAGTAAGTGGAGCCGGAGAGAAAAAAAATTAATGCTTGAGTAATTTCACACACCAGATTTACACATGCAGCATTTGATATTTACCTACCGTGTAAACGATGGTTCTGAATGAAATTCAACCGCCCTACTCAACGGGAAATAATTAGTAAGGCGGAAAAGTAGTAAATGGGTTAGAAAAAAAGGCAAATTATACCTTGAAGTCACAATAAACGCGCTCCACGTTGGATAAGGGCTGGTGAAAATGCCGTAAAAATATATGATTCATAAGTTCATTCGGATCGATGTTATGCTAATTAGTTAAGGTCAGAAATCTTTGCAAGCCGTGCACAGGAAACCATCGTGTCTTTCATTCTTCATTTCGTAGCTGTAGAGAAGGTTTTGAAAGGTGACCATAGGATTGAAGAAGTTTTGCTTAAAGTTGATCGGTTTCCAGACAAAAGCAAACCAACAATCAACGAGGTAGGTTGTAGTGCATATTCAATGCTTGTGTCACGCAACGAACAACAAACGCACATCCTCTCTGAGCATTATGTTACATTGCGTTAATGTGTTTTTTTTTCTTCTATTTTTTCTGGTTTCTCAGACTGTTGTCTTGTTCTGTATGTAAGTGAGTTTGTCACACTGCAGAAGCTGTAGTCAGCCCACATCGTTAGAGTTATCCCTGGGTCATACTTGCCTTCCCCCCACCCCTCCCCACACCCCAGGCAAGTAAGTACTCTGGTCTCCCTGAAGGCTCGTTGGAACCCATTCATAATCCAAGGTGGAGAGAGGCATGGTAGCAGTAGTGTGACCACATTTTCTCATACGGGGATTACTACTGATAACGTACTATTTTTTCCTTGTTGACTGCTGCCCCGATGAGGCTTTCCACAACCAATTAAAAGAAACAACTAATAATGATAACAACTAATAATGATAAAAAATATGAGTTGGTTGAGAGTCCTCTCTGATGGGGGAAGACCAGTTAGCTCAGCTAAGGAGCACGCTGACTCTTGGAGGCAATTGTTTCAATTTTCACGGGGTATCAAACATTCTCTTAAGCCATATTATTCTGAGCATACTCTGGTTGCAGGTCAGGGCCTGATCGCACTACGCGAAATTTTGTTTGTTTTGCAAAAAAATCTGTCAACGCGAAACCATTTTCAGTGCAAACGATTTTTGACCCACCAAAATTTTCGCAAGAGCCACCAAACTTCAAAGATGCCGTCGACTATTTGGAGGCCTACAATTTTTTGTCGGGTGAGAAAATCTATTGTCCCTTGATAGATACTTTTCAACTGGTCATCATCTTTCATAATTGATCATGATACCAGGCAAAGGGATATTATGTACCTACGTGACCCCATTACCGCCATTTAGAGATGAGACTGGTAAGAGGAAAAGTTCAAAGTATGATACATTTCCTCATGCCGAAGAAAGATACCTGTGTTAAAGTCTCCAGGATCCGTAAAAGCCGATTCCTTCCCAACAAAACCAGAAGTAACTGATGACTAGCCATAATCAGGTTCTGCATGGCAAGCAGACAGCAAACAGGGCGATTAAAACATTTCGCGGGGGCATTTTGCTTTGCGACAGCCTTTGACTGGGAACGACATCAAAGGAAACGCACTGTCACGAAATCTCGGTACCTATTTCGATTGATTGACATTTGTGGTTACACAAATAATTCGCACGTCTAAAGGCCTATTTCCATCCGAGATCCTTTGCAGTCGTTTGTTTTTGTTTTGGAATCGCGCTATTGTTAAATGGCGAACTCTGATAGTCATTCACAAACACTATTTAAAAAGGAAAACAAAGATTTGGTGAATAACACAGTAAACAAATTTGCAGCTAAATATTTGAGACTGAAAAATCATAATCGAGTCTGTGTATAAAACTTGTACAAGGCTTACCTGATGTTGAGGGAAATTGTTCGGCTTCAACACTAAATAAAATATAAACAAACAACCAATATTGGCCAAAACTGATTTACTTTACGCATTTCAATTATAGAATGATGACTTCTACAAATGAGATCGCTTACATACACATCTCAGGATCTCAAGTAAAAATCAGTCAAATAATTATTCTCACCTCGAAAAAACCTCCCCGGAGTCTCTAGTTTCATCGTAGGAACAATGCAATAACATTTCTGCAAAAGCACTGTCTGCAGTGTTACCGAAACCCATGGTTGTTTTCCTTACCCTCCATAAATCATACACAGACTCTCGAAGTCGAATAACCTTTGCCGAGCCGGGCAGACTCGGCCTTCCTCTAGACCGCTTCTTCGGCGGCATCCACTTTTCAAATGACGTTTTTCACCGTCATACATGTAAGAATTAAAAACTATTTACTGATATGGTACTACGATAGTTTGTTCTTCGCACATGATTCAAGATGGAACTTTGAAAGCCCTAATTAGTAAGATGGAAGAAGATATCAAAGCGATTCCGCAACTACGAAGAAAATAGCGTATTTTTCATATATGAAAAATGATCCGGGCGCGCAAGACATCTCGATTGGAAATGGGCCTTTCAGTGCGAACGCTATTACGAAAACAAAAAATTCGCTGTTACAAAATTTTCAATTTTTTTGCAAGTACCAAACCAAATTTTTCGTTGTAGTGCGAACAGGCCCTTAAACTGCCATTGATTCCATAACTATGTTCTGCAGATATTTACTCACGTAACGGCAACGTTGGATCCCGTTGAGTTGGGTATTTCACCACACGAAGCAAAGCAGATTTTAGAAAAAGTCACGCACGACGTCGATGTGTCTTTCCAGTGCGATAAAAAATTGTTTGTTTTAATTGGAAAGCTGAAGGAAATAAATGAGTGCCACCTTCTTGTGATGAAGTGTCTTAACGAAGGTCAACCTATTGATGCGCAACTGAACAATCTTTCTTTGGCGAACAAAGGCGCAGAAGTCGATAATGGTGGAGGACGAAAGGCATTAGCAACGCCTGGAAGATCTGACGTTATCGTAGCTACGAGAATCTATGAAAGACCTAGAACCAAGGTTATCCCATTCAATAAAGTCAACAGCGACGATCAGGCAGAACGTGTACATCCCACAATAGAGGCACGATGGTTTCAAGTAGATCCATATGCATTCCGTTTCATGGAGAGGTTTTTCAAAGAGAAGTTAGATGAAATCAAAGGAGAATGTCTTTTGAAAGTTACCGCTTCATCTGAAGGTACTCGAGTTATTCTTCAGGCGAAACAAAACTGTGAACCTTCAAGGTACAACGCCGCTTGCAGCAAGCTATCAAAACTTATCGAAACTGTCACCCATGGTATGGCTACTTGTGAGCTGGACTTAAACGGTGCGGACGAAGATTCAGCAAACGTTTTAATGGAATACATTGCGACCAAGTATCCAGTGATCATAGACCGGCCCCAAGAACGCAGTCCGTTTTTTGTCTATGGCGATGCTGCATCTGTAGGAGAAGCCAGACGAATTGTAAGAGGAGGAATGAGTCAACAGGAAAGCTATGATACTGGCCTTGCTGCTCAAGAAATGGTAATGGCAGTACCGGAAATGATTTCCTTTGAAAACTCTAGTTATCGAACAGAAAATGGTGTCTGTATCTCCCTTCGTTATGGAGACATCACTGCCGAGAAAGTCGATGCGATCGTTAATCCTGCAAACGAATATTTGTTCCACGGAGCTGGCCTTGCAAAGCTGATTGTCCAAAGAGGTGGACCTGAAATCCAGAGGGAATCTAACTCGTTGATACGAGAACGCGGTTTTCAATCATTACACATCGGAGACGCAGTGCATACAGTCGCAGGAAATCTTCGCTGTAACTTTGTCATTCATGCCGTTGGTCCCGAGTGGTTCAAACACTCACATACAGACAATATGAAACTTCTTCAGAGGGCGTGTCTCCAAAGTCTTAAACTGGCGTCTAAACTTGGCTTATCATCCATCGCTATACCAGCTATCAGTTCCGGCATCTTTGGTGCCCCTATTGACTTATGCGCCTTTGCCATGTTTAACGCAGTGGAGGAATATCTTAGAATGCCGACCGTAACAAAGAAAAAAGTTACAAAGAAAGAAGGGTCTAAACAAAGCAACCAGAAACACAAAGAAACAGATAAGAAGAAAAAATGGACCAAGCCGCCGAAGGAGACACCAAGCAATACTGCTGATGGAGAAAAAAAGGGAGCAAACTCCGGAGCCGTTCTTAACGATATTCGGTTTGTCCTCATTGACGCCGACTCAATGGATGTTTTCGAGAAGATATTCAATGAAAGATTTGGAGGCGTTACAGATAACATCGTGGATGACTTTGAGGATCTCGATGACGAACATGATGACGGTGTAGTTTAGCGCGAGGAAATCACGGCACCAAACTTAAACTAGACTTGTACTCGTAACAGGAACTGTCATTGGGGAAGCTTTACTGTGGCCAAACGTTTTTTTTTTAACATTTTCCCTTGTCCACTACGTGAGATGACTGAAAGTCACAATGTCACTTATCCTAAGGAATCGTTTTAATTCTATCATAGACACGGGTCGATTGAAAGGCCATGAAATAAACACGATTTGTTGTGACGGACTTGATCGGTCATTGGAAGCCTCACTGACTGGTGATATCTAAACATATTCGTCATACCAAGTTTGCAAGTGCCGGTTGTATCTACATACTTTGTCCAAAGAACTCTGTGATACGTTAAGTTATAGAAAATTCAAGTTGTTTGTTACAAGTAGCGGTTTAATAGACCAATTTACCGACTCTAAGTTGATTTAAAGGCTGATAGTTTCGAAAGAAACTGTTTGGGGCTGCGTCGGTGGGAGTAACGAAATAATTTGGATATATCAACAAAGTTGAAATGCGTATGATGCACGATCCTCGCAGTAGATAGCGCTATTTAAGCAATAGCGAAAATCAGACCTGAAAAAAATCAGGCCTGTACGGGATTCGAACCACTGACCTCTGCGATACTAGTGCAGCGCTCTACCAATTGAGCTAACAAGCCAACTGGGAGCAGGCCGTTAAGTTGATTCGTAATAAACCCGTGAAAGTGATAAATCAGATACAATGAAATATATGAAGTTCATATATTTTGAACTGCGGTATTAGATACGTATGATGCACGATCCTCGCAGTAGATAGCGCTATTTAAGCAATAGCGAAAATCAGACCTGAAAAAAATCAGGCCTGTACGGGATTCGAACCACTGACCTCTGCGATACTAGTGCAGCGCTCTACCAATTGAGCTAACAAGCCAACTGGGAGCAGGCCGTTAAGTTGATTCGTAATAAACCCGTGAAAGTGATAAATCAGATACAATGAAATATATGAAGTTCATATATTTTGAACTGCGGTATTAGATACGTATGATGCACGATCCTCGCAGTAGATAGCGCTATTTAAGCAATAGCGAAAATCAGACCTGAAAAAAATCAGGCCTGTACGGGATTCGAACCACTGACCTCTGCGATACTAGTGCAGCGCTCTACCAATTGAGCTAACAAGCCAACTGGGAGCAGGCCGTTAAGTTGATTCGTAATAAACCCGTGAAAGTGATAAATCAGATACAATGAAATATATGAAGTTCATATATTTTGAACTGCGGTATTAGATACATATGATGCACGATCCTCGCAGTAGATAGCGCTATTTAAGCAATAGCGAAAATCAGACCTGAAAAAAATCAGGCCTGTACGGGATTCGAACCACTGACCTCTGCGATACTAGTGCAGCGCTCTACCAATTGAGCTAACAAGCCAACTGGGAGCAGGCCGTTAAGTTGATTCGTAATAAACCCGTGAAAGTGATAAATCAGATACAATGAAATATATGAAGTTCATATATTTTGAACTGCGGTATTAGATAC